CATGAAAGCGGGCTGATTGGATCTTAAAAGTTTCGCCCAAAAAGTACTTTAGAATGATAGAAAAATATGTTTAACTTCTCAATCCGTCTGATATGTTTCACATGAGAAATATTGCTAGTTTTATATCAATTCAGGTAACAACGGGCTCAGTATAATCTTTAGTTTATTTCAATTCAATATATGTATGTATCTGATGTCAGAGAACTGCTCATATGTTCTACACAACGCAGCAGCCGTTGGTCGCAACGTGATATGGGAAAAACAGAGGAAAGAAAGAGTGACGAAGGGGAGAAATACCTTGAATAATATTGAAGTAAGTGAAATAGCATGATCTAGGAAGAGAAGAAAATTGCTTGAATGGGAAGAAATAAAAGAACGAAAAACATATGCAAAGGAGAACTGTAAATTTGCTGGGCAACAACTTCAGTGGCGAAGACCCGGTTGTTTGTGTTAGCGATGTGCACAATATGATAAAATGTAATTACAAAATGAGGAATGATCAGGCGAAGGAACGGCGTCGACGACGATGTGGTCGATGGCTGATTGTAAGAGGCTACATTTGAATGTGCATTCCTTGTGTAATCACCCGCGTTCGACTTTCTTTCTCCAACATTTTTCGTTCCCGTTCTATCCTATTCTTTATCATCTTCACCTTCTTTTTGATCAATGAACGATCGGAATGATTTTGGATACCCATTCCCTAAAATATAGGACATCTTACCATGGGGTGTCTTAATAATATTTTATAAATTACCAACCTTTAACTTGGTTCCATCCAGGTCCAGAAATTTCGCTCCGGTGATCTTGTTAATGGTGAATTCGGGAACATACTTATCGAGACCCATTGAGACAAGCAATTGACACACGTCATCTATTGTCCAATGTAATACTTGAAGGCCTTGGATCTGTTCACAGGATGCTCTCCAAAACTCGTTCTCATCTGGAAAAAAAAACTCCTTGAATTTAGTATCGTTGATTGAGTAAGTAAGAGCCCCTGAGCCTCTAGAAACGTGCAGATGACTAATCTCTTGGAATTTCTTTCTTGACCTGAGAACAAATTTTGGACAAA